GTATGCAGTGGAGAACGAACACGCGCTGTTGTCCTTACCGGGGAGCAGCGCACTTCACCACTACACCATCCGGGTCCCGGTCCCGGATGGTCCATCCTGTTCTAACAGGGGCTGAGGTGTACCTTCTGAAAATTGAAAATCGTAATCATTGAACATTTAAAGCAATCCGCGTTGTATTTAATGTCATAATAGTGTATAAATTTAGCAAGAATGAATTAAGTGATTTATTTCAGGGTTATCATGCTTTTGCAAGTGACTTTATCAGTTTCCATCATCTCTCGCCGGATGAAATTCGTCTTTTCGACATTCTGTTATATAGAACGAATCGTCCCTCAAGAACAGCCTTAAGAAAGACCTTGACGTCCTCAAGGGCATAATTCCACTTTAAAGAGTTACTTTGCATCGTATTTCTTCCTCATACGTTTAAGAAATTTGCGAGATTGATCACTTACAGCAACTACACAGTTGCAATCGTTATGCTGACGTTGTCATATGTGCAACTAATTCGTTTTCCAAAACAAAAGCAGGAAAGCGCATGTCGATGTGCAGAACTCGATTATGTTCTGCTGGCTTCCTGTGCAAGCTCTCAAAATTGTAGTGTTTCTGTCTCATTGGGCATTTAACATTACGCAACTCTATTGTTTCATTTATTTCATGCTGCAAGCGTAGCACGTTTATTTTCGTGTTCTTTCATCTACTCAGGATTTGTGATCGAGCGCTTTCGTGGATCTCCTGGCCGACATTTAATAAGCAACTAAATCAAGAAGAAATTTGGTCGCATCTAACGGGTCAACGAACTATGGTTAATAACCATTTTCCGAATGTTGTGCTTCCATCTGTGATACGCTTTTTTGTTGTATATTCAACTATTCCATTAAATGTATTTAAATTTGAAGAGCTCACATTTGACTAAAAATATTAATCCGCTGTGGTAGTAAATGATATGATTTTGTTACTGATGACCTGCTGAACAACAAGATATTCTGAGGATTGAACTGGTTAACGACATAAAATAAGGTGCAATGGTACTATTTTATCTAACTGTAGTACGCGCTATTGAAGGCGCAATCGGAAGAACGATGCTAGAAGTATCCTGTGTCACACAAGTGGTGGAGGGGATCTGAAGCTCCCACGTGCGTCAACGATAAAAAGGAAAGATGCCGTTCTATACGCCAAAGTGTGTATGACAAGCAATGTGTATGAACCGCAACTGATGAACAAGGGGAGTTAGTGACTGGATTCCTCGGGATGTCAAACATACTGCAGGAAGACTACCAACGCAATGGTCAGAGTTCTTCACGAAAAGCCAAGAAGGAAGGTACGATGCTCAACGATTTCTTGGAGAGGGCAGAATTCTTGCGGAGAAATGGAAGATTTACTTACCCGTTCGAGTCAATCGACGATCAACGGGACGACTGGTGATACAGGTGATAGTGCGCGCTAGTAGAATTTAAACTACCAAACCAGACAGATCCAGTGCGATCTGCCACCTCCGCCATTACAATGAAACAATCATATTTTTCGCTCCCGGTTCCTCATTTCCACCTTGATGGGAATCGGAATTAGCGCGTTCCTGCTTGCCTTATCTTGGCTGTTCACTTTTAAACTGTGATGCACGGTAGAATTCCACCTCATAGCATGCTGTCCAGGTTAAAATTTCCATCCGTAAATCCAGCTGTGGGTAAACTTATGCACGTCCGAGCACAAAGAACTACCACTGGTTGAATTGCTACCAAAATAGTTTTGATTTCCTCCCATGTTATTATGGGAAGACGCCTCTAGAATATAATATGTTATATTCTATTTACATTTTCACAACAATCACGATAATGGTTGTAAATAGTTTTTTGAGAGATGGCACCGCTTTTTTGAAATCGATCCTTTACGCCCATTGTCACATTGTTGTATTCCATCAAACTTTGCATTCTGGGAGACAGAGTATGAAGAGCCGTGCCAATGTGAGTATGAGGACTGCCAGTAGGATCTTTAGATGGTCACCTTTAATTGTCCGTAAGTCGAATGCTATAGTGCTCTTCTTCCATGTGATGGCATGTTCCACTTCGAACAGGTGAACCGGTAAGATATCCATCTTTTCCGGTCTGAATGGAACAAGATGGATGCTGCTGTCGCAGAGATTAGAGTATGAGTCGTGAATGATATTCTCTATTTCCGTTCTGGATGCAGCAACCCTGTTGTGTTCGACATCTTACGTTGAGCTTCCTAGTTTTGCGACTAAGTCTCAGCTGGGTTGGACTGATACAATGGTAATGTATATGTTCTTGTGCGGAAGTAAACGTATGCTGTATAACAAACTCGTGATTGCTGAGATAGGCAACGACGCTTGTTCTCTTACTTGCAAATCAGTCTGATTTTTTCACAAATCTTCTGCTAGTATTGGGAACATGAAGACATATGAAATCATACTAGTAGAAGACGCCTCTAGAATAATCGGAAGACACGTTGCCCAAGAAAAGGCAAAAAGTTGACATAGAAGAAGAACAGGCAGTGGGAGCTTTTTTTCCCACATATCAATCCAATCCTTGAGGGATACGTGATGCGCTCGACTTTATTAAACATCAGTAGAGGTGGTCTAATGCATATTTGGCCTATACAGTGACTTGGGGGTGTCTAACGATCTATCAAGTCATTTCATTTATCCTTCCAGACAAGGCTGGTGCAAATTTGCCGACCCTGGAAAGACAAGGTGAACATGGGCACCAGATCGAACCAACAACCATGTGGGCATTCCATGGTACCGTTAATCATTGCACTTCTTCTGTATATTCGATTTATTTTCAGAGTTCAAGAGACTTAATCACTACGCTGACTAGGGTGCATATGGAACCATTTTGAAAAACAGTTGCCTGCCTAACTGAGAACTTGATCTACATTAACCCGTGGAAATGCCTCAAATGCATTATAAAAAACGAAGGCCACGTGTTCAGGTCAGTCCCACTGCGTCGCCACCGAACGATGTCCGCACGCATCAAGACGATCGGTTTCTTTGGACGCGATACCGGTAGTAGCCGCACCTGATCGAGTGAAAACGAGAGCGATAACTGGGTCAAATACAAGCCCCAATTACTTATAAGTGTAAAGTCGAAACGCTTTCCCGTTGTTGCCCTTAACGGACCTTATTGTGCTCCTCCGTTCCTTTTTTCATCTTGTTTCAAGCACTTTTTACGGTCCTCAACGTTTAACAAAGGATAGGAATCTAACACCTATTTTATAGAAAAAACTTATTTCTATCTATGCAAATGTCTGGGAAGTTCACCTCTTTTCAACATGCTTATGCAGATACATGATCATCATCTGCGAAGCAACCCAAGCACTTTTATTTAGAATCTTTTGGAACAATTTTAAGAAAAATTTTTAAAACTACTTCAATTATGTCACAATCCGCTACAAAAGAAACTGTGTTGACAAAGTCTTCGAACGTTTTTTGTAGAATGGAAATCCTTCAAACTGAAGGGTTTGTATAGGAAAATTTCCATAAGGAATCAGCTGTCTTGCGATGACCAGAATTCTTGGGCTTAACAGCTATATAAAAGGTTCTCATAAAGATATTTTTGAATGCGAATCACCTCTTTGTATGCGAAGAGCTCATGGGCTGTCCTTGATCCACTGGGCCGCTTAAGAAGACACTTATTATAAAGAGCACCCCGCTCTCCAAATCTCATTTTCATTCGACACTCATACTCATATCGGTAATAACACTTTTGTAAAGTTTCCAGGGAACTACGTACTAAGTCTTTGTGTTATCTCAGAACAAATGATCGCAATAACGTAAAAATTTAATTACCATTTTTTGCAACTCACTACGAACCTTCACTTTCCAGTGATGGTGGATGAGTTACTACTACATGGTAATATTATAACAATTAACTGAAAAAGCATAGAACTAGAGAATAATCTTAAGAAATTCAGCAACCGCCAGCAGAACATAATTCTTAGAAAGAAGGCGGGTAGCGCAGTGGCGGTTGTGCCGCTCATCACGAGTATGGCATTAGGTTCGATTCCACGCTGGGTTCATCAAACCTCTCACATCTCCGGTGTTGGGAACGTAGTAGCGGGCTTGCCTGGGCTAAACAAACACCCTCTAATTCACATTGGAACGCTTCAGCACGGCTATCGTAGGACTCGAAGGAGAATCTAATCAACCAGCATTCAATAGCATTTATGAAAAGATCAGAAATTCTCGCGGAACAGCCAAGCGCACAGCGCAGAAAGCTCGAAGATGTTGGTCGATGATGAACACGAGAAAATGAATCGTATGTAAGAAGTCCTGCGATCTGCACAGTAGACGTGCAAACTGGTCATTTTAAAAGTAAATTTTTAAAACAGCGGTTAACTCAAGTGTGTCAACGTGATAACCGAACAGGAGTTGTTCAGCACCCAGTTAAGGGCACAATTTCGATCGATTTGCGTATTATCGGTATTAGTACCACAACATCAAATGAGTGGTGATTAATGTTTAGAAGGAACAAAAATCTGACCAGTTATAGAAAATGTTAGTGGCAGTGATTCCAGTGCTCCTAACAGTTGCTGATGGCATTTTCTTCGGTGGTGGCGGTGGAGGTGATTGTTGTTGTGGATGCGGAACACCCCAACCAGCAAGCTGTGGATGTCAGGTGACTTCTGAGCCATTATTTATCTCTGAATAACAATTTTTCCTGATTCCCATCACTTGTAGTTTCACAAAGAAAATAGATATAGTGAACAAATAATGCTATTGCTGCAGTGGATTATGCCTTTGAAAAACAGTGCAGCAAACTTATCAAATAGCCCACCAACGATACTGAAATATTTGTAAAACTGAGACCAGTAACCGTCAAAATCGTTATCTGTAAATAAGTAAACACCAATTACAGTATCCTGTTCCGGCGCCGTGCCCAGCTTGTCCACAAAATTACTGTCCCACTCCGCCAGTGGCCTATTGCCCCCAAGTCCAACCGGTATATTATCCGGGATGCAATGCTGGAAGTGTAGGATGTCCTGGTGAGCTGTTATGGATTAAAGCAGGCAGAGTAATTTCAACGAAAACTGCTATCTAGGTAGCATTGACTTTTCCACGAACTCATGTTATTACGTAATGGCGTTTCCATATATGCAAAGTTATCGTCAAAAGCGGAGCTTAATACAGCTCGTTTGCAGATCATAAGTTCAGTCGCGAAACAATGCATTAAATCTTGAAATCTGTCGAACTTTTTCAGGAGAAGGCGGATATGCAGTGAGTGGCGCTGCTAAAACTGTAGTTGGAGAGCCTATTTACCCAGCTCCACCTTTGCCTGTGGGTGGGGGTAGTTATCCAGCACCACGTTTGCTTGTGGGAGGGGAGAGTTATCCAGCTCCACGTTTGCCATTTCCGGATGCTTTTCCATCTGGTAAGTGATTTTCAAACAACTTGTGTGACAGATCAACGTAAACAATCTGGAATGTGGAGCACTTTTGCCGGTCTTAGTCTATGATATCAATATGAAATCATATGGTTCACCAAGGACGAAATATTCTAGTTTGGTAGCTTAAACAACCATAAACAATATAGAAAAGTGGACGAAACTACCTTAACGGTTTCGAAAATGACTCCTGTGCAGAAGGTTGTTCTAACCAGACCTTGCAGTGTGCCGTGGTATTTTCTAGCTAGAGAACTCTCAGATCACGTTTGTGGTAACTAAATAATTTGGGAAACTAGTATTTTAGAAGTTGATCATTTGAATGTCTTAATTCAGCCCATCTTCATTGGTTGTGATTCACAACAGCCTTCTGTTCAGTACAGTCTTTTCTAGAAAAAGAAAATTTGAAAGATCCTTTGATTTGTAATTTGACATGGCACGAAAAATCATTCAATTCAATAATACTTTGTTCATTTCATTTTATTCAGGTGCCGGAACCAATGGAGGAAATAACGGACTACCGCACAGCCCTGGATATACCGGTCCACCTATAGGTGGAGAGAACCTTGGAATTTCACAGGAACCCGTTGCGCCAAGTAATTTATAGAGTAGTCAGATTGCAAAACCTAGAGCGAGAGCTATTTTATAATGCAGCTAACTACTGTGAGGCAGACATAATTTGTTGAGACATCGAAACAGAACGCCACATGTGCTTCAGGTCATCAAAGTGAAGAGATACCTGCTGGCGCCACTTCAGCAAGCAATTATGCACCACCTCTAGACAGACTGCGATCACCTCAAGTAAGTCACATGTAAGAGTTTGGCAATGTTGATTTGTCATACTGGAATATTCCATCGCTTGTAAATTTTATTGGGAAGCAGACCAGAGCACCCTGTAATGTCTTGTTTACTTTACTACCATTGAAATGCGAATACAACGTAAACCCCTTCTTATAATGAAAATTTAAGTATGCTACAATCAGGACATGTTTCTTATTTAGCTAATAGCAACAGTTTCATGATCTATTAAAACTGTAGCTTCGGTTGTATAACGGTACAAAGGGAACTTTTTTATGTAAAATTTTCTTTCGGTATTCAGTATGCACAAAGAAGTATTGGGGAAGGGGTCAATGATTTGAGGAAGAATAGACTGAATGCTATAGCGCATATTGTTATTAGAATCATCAGCATATAAACTATATTGCAGAATAACTGTGAACAGCCAAAAGTGAGGTATGTGGTGCTGAGGATGAAAAAAGAACCAGGATCAGGCATCGAGGAAGTGATGGAGGAGGCTGAAGAGGTAAGTCGACATTGGAACGTCTTCCCTACCTTCATTTACTGATCATAGCAGGTGAATACTTTGAAAGCAGCCATGGAAATCAAATGATACCACTGGTTATGTAGAAATTGACAAGCATTACATTGTTGTTGCTACATTGACTCGCACAAGGTCACTAACATTCGCAAGCAGTAATAGAAAGATTATTGAGTACGTGATTAGATCTTTTATGAAAATCGTTCAAAAGGTGAACCACCCGCCACCAGTGGAAGCGACCGCATCGCCGTTAGAGGCACGCCAAATAATCGACGAGATCAACCGCAAAGAAGCGAAGCGAGATGGCATGGAGAATGATACTCGTAAGTATTTCAACTGGAAAATCCATACGTCGACTTCCTCGGTAGAAATGAATGGTGAAATTTTACCGGCGAAAAGTTACTAACTATAGAAACCGAGGAGATTAATTTGTTTTCTTGATCAACAGGCAATAATTCGTTGTTGTAATATTTACTTCACAGTTCTCTTGATGAGGAAACACAAGCTCGTAACTGTACTATTTACTTAGTCTCCCAACAGTTCATCTCCTCATCGTGGTCGGGAGGTATTCCTGCGTGTAGAGCTGCGATGCAAATCGGGGGAATTTATCCCATCGGCAGGGTCTCCCAAGCTGAGAAGGAGTGCAGCGTTTCCATTAGGAAGTCCAGCTAAGAGTAAACCAATACCAAGATCCACCACCGCCCTGGTATCAAGCTAATCGTATGGTGGAAAATCTCACTCTAATGTATTTATAAAGGCGGCAACTGCCTGTAGTTGCGACAGCATGGGGCAGACTTTGGCCAGGCTGACCCTGGAACCCCAAGGATACACGATGGCTAGACCAGCAAAACTCCGACAAAATGGAAATTTTGCTGGACTATCTATTTATCTACGACAACTAACCTCTTGGTGAATTTCGTCTTTTTCAAAGCCTGGTTTGGTCCAAGTTCATTGCAATCAATACACCCAAATACTTCCAAAGCCTCAAGAAAAAAACCTGACATCTATATATCAACCTTATTGGAAACAGTTTATTCAGATTCTCACCGCTTGTTATGAACCTTCCACTTATTTGTGGAGTGCAACCACACATAGTTCACATGAATGGATAATGTGCCTCTGTAAAGTTAAAGTATTACTGTTGGATATTGTGTAAGATCAGGTGTTATAACGACGTATTCCTCCCTGCGGTTCATTTTTGGATTCTTGGAACACATCCAAAACGCTTCGAGAGTTTTGCGCGCTGACGTTTACGATTCCCGTGCTAGCATGGCAACTTCTATTCCAAAATCTTCCTCGCAATGTCTCTGTGTCCGTTGCGCTCCTAGTGGAGGATTTGGTTTAAACTTAGGTTTACCAAATAGGTCTTCTTCTATACGGGCACAGAGTAGTCTACCCTTTATTTCACAATCGCTAACGTTTCGGCATATATTTCTCCTTCTTCAAAAGCTGACAAAGGTCATTGGTCCCCAAACGGTTGAGATTAGGTACACGGTTGCCGAACTCATCATCGTCTCTACCGTTGGAACATATCATGCAGTTCAAACTTGCAAAGCGTGTGGGGACGAATACGATGGCAAAACAGGTGGACCATTATGTGTCCTCATGAAAGAACACCTAGACGGTGAGCGTAAAGTTAAACATAATACTCCACAAGGCTCGTGTGGGACACAGAAATAACGGAGGTTTTCAAGTAAAGATCGCTATTCTCGCACAGGAATCCAAAACATCAGCACGTAAAACTCCTGAAGCGTTTTCGGCAAATTCCAAAAGTCCATGCATGAATCGCAAGGAGGAGCGTCTTGTGATCACGCGCGAGCCCCACCTCAGGATGATTTTCTTGGCTTGAAACGGGTGCAAACGCTACATGTGAATTCTATTCCGCTGGTCTCCTTCAATAAATGGAAGACATGTAAAAAACGGTGACTGTTCAAAGAAGGTTTGTTTTTATGGCACTGAAATTTAGTTTTTCAGTTCCTTATATTAAGGCCGTGAAAGCATTTGGCTTACGCATTAGTGTGCCCCTCTACAGGATCTGAAGAAACGCGAAACCCGCCCACGCGTCAGCCACTACGGAATAGATATGGCGATCTGTCAGCTCTTCAAGAAAACAGTGGACTACTGATCACCGCGAGTTAAATAGAAAGTCGATCCTAGGAATGAAAAAATTGATTCTCACCTATACTGGAAGAATGATAAGTGGTCCATTATCATCCCGCAAATAAACGCGACATAGATTCAGATGAAGATCACGCTCAATTCGAGGTGCAATATTACTAGTAAGCTCCTTTCTTTTTTCCTAGATATTTATGCATACGGGCTAATCAATTATGTTTTAAAAGAAGCGATAGAATCACTATCTACTGAGACATTAGTGTACTTGTTCTCCCCATTGGAAAAATATTACTGCAAGCTCGAATAAAGTTGACAAGTTCTAAACCTGCCTCTCCCATACTACATCGGTGAGAGTTGAAAATTATGACTCGCTGAGCAGTTAGCGACAAACTGTCGGGGTCCAAGGTGCTTCTCAAAAGGACCAAGATTTCGAGCTCAATTCCAGTGCCTGCGATTTCGCGAAGGTTGACCAATGTCTTCGTACAAATCCTATGTCATAATCGAAATCAACTTGATTTCACATATTAGCGTGTCTAACCGCTCATGAAAGGACGTGGCGTAGAGGTCGGAGGAGCCCTGCGACACACACGTGGGATCGATCCCGGCGCACCATGCCCGCCAGGCCCTCCATCCCTCCGGAGTGGACAAATCGGTAACAGAACCTTTCGTATTTTAAATGATGTAGTTCATTATGAATACAGTAACCCGATATATTCTGCACATTGAAAAACCAACGACACGCAAGCATACCCAGCATATTTTTATTAGAATTGGCCGAAATTTCTGAATATACATGCAAAGCAGACCATTTTTTATCTACTGCCTATTGTTTTTTCACGGCTTGGTATTACGTGAAATAAAACCAAAATGATGTTGAGATATAACTTCAATGATGCTGAAATATTTGCAAAACTCCGGACAGTAGGTGTATGCGGTGGGGAACGAACGCGCTATTGACTTTCCGGGGAGTAGCGCGTTCACCACCACACCACGCGGGTCCTTCGTTTCGCCTGTCTCTCAGCTAGTTCTATCGATCTCGTTTCTCACCCCAGACATCAGCGGCTCGGAGTTTTACGAATATCTCAGCATTATTATGGTTATATACACAAAGTTCGCAAAAGTGGTTTACAACTATTATGTGCTATCACATTCATAGATGTGTGCATTGTAATACAAATAGTAGGTGAAGAATTATCTACGGAAAAATATTTCCAGAAACAAGAGCTCGAGGTACTCCAACGCTCTCAGATACGAAGTGTAACAGCAAACCGCTTAGGAATCTTATTATAGAAGTAAGAAGTGTCATTCCTTGAATTTTTTCTTTTATTTTAATGATCGGATCGATAACGGGTAGGCGAATGACATCAACGCAATCAGTCTACCATGGTGACCGTTGTGTTTTGACGTTTAGGAAGAGCTCAGTTTGTGATGAAAATCGGATCGGGAATATGTCGACCCTAATCTACACAGAAAATTTCATTTTTGTCGCCAATGTGAGATAAATGGATGGTTTTTGGCGCACTCAACGCTCTGCAGCCTAAGCACAAATCTTGGAGTTGGAATCTCAAACTGCTCTCGTGTACATTCCAAACGGGGATTTCAGACTTTTCACAGAATTATTACGGTAGTGGCGGTATATTCATAAATCTACTGAACCTTGATACGTATATTTCACCTCAACAATAACTTGTTGCAGCCATAAAATGAGTGTCTTCTTCACACCAGTTACCTACATGGCACTATGAAGTACTAATCCCAAACGATGGGCATTCATTTTGGAGCTAACGGATGAGTGAATTTCAGAATATCATAAGGGATGATGCGTTAGCTTCGAAGAGAGCCATTCATGAAACGTCAATCAAGCGATTCTCGGACTCCAGCGTAGACGTTATTTGTTCTGGGACAGGTATGTGAACTAAATATAGACCGGATATGCACAAGCTTTTGTATCAGGTTCTCTAATTTGCCGCAACCGATCAACAAGTATTGGTATGCCTATTACTACTTTGTGGAAATAGCATTCGGCAAAACTAGAATTAATCCTTTCATGATCGCTGCGAATTTCGCTTATTTCGCCATCGGTTTGCTTGTTATTGGAGAGCAATCGAAATACGCATCGAAATTGAGATGTACGGTACATGAGCGCTCGGATGCCGCCCGGAAAACCGGTTTCTTGAGCTTATCGCCCTATTACTCAGCCTCTCATATATTTCCACTGTCTTTCTAACTTCTACTTATACACAATGTTATGTTCTCATGTTCCTCCACATCTCTTGTGTATAATGAGAAGTCTATTACCTAACCATGGCGCTACTAGGTTTCCGTAAAGCTATCCCTGATAGTTGAAGTGCATTTCTGTTTCTCTTTCATGTTTTTTTAATCCAACAATCCAATTCCACCTTACAAAAACGGTGTAGCGCATGTGTAGCGCACTCAGAACACCTATTGCTGTACAAGCCATAATATACAAACCGTGTTCGACAAGTTATCGACTGACTACTATTCTGGCAAAAAGCTTCTGTGCGGCTAAATAATCCAGAAAAAAGCGTGAGCTTTAAAAACAATATGTACACCCAAGGCTTACAGCAGTATACTTGTCGAAACCAATGCGCATGGTCGTGAAAAGGTTAATCATACCAGCCAGACAGATCTCGCAGGATCTACTTCACAAAGATGTTGAACAAGCAATGAGGCAATGAGAAGAAACGCTCTAAACAACCTGCTTGTATTACACGTAAGAAGGTCCAATGTAAAAAATGCAATCTCTCAATCCCCCTAAGCACCACGTAGGAAAAAGTGGTGATGCAACCCATGCACCTAAGACCATTGGAAGCTCCTTCTATATAGAGGGAACTCCCACTACTTTGCTAGCTCTTCCTGAAAATCCCATTAATACCATGTCGTTCAAAACTTTGACCACAATTCTTTGTTTCCTTCGACTTCATTAATTGCACTTACAGGATTCACTTACTTGGTATCGACGACAGAACATTGCGAAGCACAAAAAGACAACGTAATCTGCCTCGTCTACAAGCGACCTCTTCCTCGATAGGGCAGGCTTCTCACCTCATTGTTTAAAGTTCATAAGTTCATAATAATTCCAGTTGTTATAATAAAATGTACATAATTTAGGGTCAAAGAACACAGAGAGTCCTTGTGATTATACAATATAAGGCACTACAGCTTCGAAATGGAGATCGGGTCAAATTTTCAAAAAACTGACACCTCGTATTGGACGTAGGGTAACTAGAATTAATACAAAGCCAGAATGCGTTAAGTCTGTGAATCTTCCGCATACCTAGGTTATACCGGGAACTTTTGGACCATAGTTAGAAAGACGTAAAGCATACGAAGCAAAGAACTTAGAAGTACTACTACAAGGATACACATGTATCTAAGTGGTCATTGATAAAGTACTCAACAATTCTCTCACCACATGATGGACAATAAACAAAACGATTAAGAGTGACATCAGTTGCGGTCGCTTTGGGGGAATGGGCATGAATACGTGACAAACGAGGATCCTTGTCATTACCAATGTCAACCGGACATTCAGAATCTTCATTAAAGGTAATGGGTCGTCGAGTTTGATCCATTTTCTCGAGTTTAAGATCAAACTCAATTTCTATTACTTCAACATCCGATTTTCGCGATGAACTACTTTCGGTCATGCTATCTAGACGTGACGGGCCTGAAATCCAATTTAGTAAAGAAAGAAAAAAGCAGCTCTGCAGTAGGTTTCAAATCGTATATGCAAAAGAATTGTACAGAAAGAAATATACCTTGTATTTCATCGGTCTTAGAGACGAATACTGTGGTAGGACCACCTATTTCTGACAAATCAGAGGAATTCGTAGACCTACTAGCCCTGCCACAAGTCTGACCACGTCCAATTGCAGGGTTCGAAAAATAACGTTCGAGAGTATTGTTTGCAGCATTTCTTTTGCCAGGTACCACGTTCTAAAACAAATAGACAAATACAGACTTCATTCTTCTTTAACGATTTTGAACTCCTATGGTATTACGGTCGCCTACCCTTCATTGTGGGATTCCTATAGTTCACAGTACACAGTATTCTTAAAAAACTGCTAAGTGGCATAGAAAAATAGCGCGAAAAATCATAGCAAAAGAGAACTGAAACAAAGCTTCAACATGGTGACATCGTTCATCGAAGTTATTTGAAAAGGAACTAGTTATAGAATAAAACGAATCGCTAACTATTTCGTTCACAAATAAAAGCTCTAAAGCTCTCGGCGTTGAATGATCCCTTAAGGATACGCAATGCATTCGATCTCATTAAGTATCGTTTGGAAGTGATTGGATGCATATCTGGCTTTTGTAATGACTTGCGGTAGCCTACCGACGTATCAAGCCAGTGCTGCCAGCATTCCAGAAAAGTTTGGTACCGAACCTGGAGGGATAGAAGGCTTGGTGGGCAAGGGGCGCAGGGATCGATCCCACGTGTGTTGCAGAGCACCTCCGACCGCTGCGCCACAATCGCCCTCCATTCACGAATAAATGCATTAAATTGCAACCAATCCAAAATAAATCCGCGTTTTAATAACGCAAATAATTTGAAAGAGGTGCTTTTTACGACCCTGTTGAGAAAGTGCTTGTGCAATGTAGCACGTTGTTCGAGTTCGTCATTGCCATTCTACAGTGGATCATGTTGTCAACGCAACGAGACAAACATACACTTTCGCTTTTAGCTATTTAAACACTTAGAAAATTAGCGCTCACATGTTGTTCGAGCTCCAAAACATTTTTGACCACTATGCTCTTGGTAACATGTGTTTCTACGTGGAATGAATGACAGCAAGCTCCGTAACACGGAAATAGCTAACCAGTTTTACTGCGTATTGCTGGACCATCCGAAGTAGATGGCAAGGAATAACCACTTTTTGAAAAACTAATTCGTAGTCAGCAGCGTCAAACGTTAGTATTAGGTTGGTAATTTTTCTTGTAATTTCTTAGATAAAAATTTTGTTCTTTATGTATGCCTAATATATATTTTTAAAGCACAACGTCTGCTCTTTCTACATCTAGTATTGGTTTTTCTCAAAATTTATTATTTCAACATCTTTATAGGCTTTAACTCTAGTATGAAACAACGTGATATTCGTGTTCTGTTTTTGAACGAGTGGAAGAGTGGACATAATGCCGCGGCAGAAGGTTGGAATATCAAGTCTGGGGTGCGAGTAGTGTTAATGAGTCAAGAGTGCGAACATGGTTCCGCAAATTCCGATATGGTGACTTCGACATCGAAGATTAAGAAGTTCGCAGACGTCTCACTGAAATTGACGACGACGAATTGAAGCCACTAGTAGAAGCAAACCCGCAAATAACTGTTCTTCTTGCAGAACAGCTTGGTGCAAGTACAAAGACAATTTCCGCTCACTTGAATCCCATAGGAAAGTCAAAAAAAACTCGACAAGTGCGTGCAGCACGAGTTAAACGATAATAGACAAAAAAGAAACGCCGTTTTGAAGTGTCTTCTTCTCGTATTCTGCACAACAAAAACGTTCCTTTTCTTGATCGAATTGTGACCTGCGACGAGAAATGGATTCTTTACGACAATCGGCGACTGCGATCGGGTTCCACAGCACTTCCTAAAGCCAATATTGCACCAAAAAAGGGTTATGGTGACTGTTTGGTGGTCTGCAGCAAACCTTCATAACAGATTTTTGAATGCAGGCGAAGCGATTACGGCAGAGAAGTATTGCCAACAAATGGACGAAACGCACCGTAAACTCCAACAACAACGACCGGTATTAGTCAACAAAAAAGAACCAAGCCATGACAACGCCCGGTCTCACGTTGCGGAACCAGCGCTGCAGAACTTGGAGTTCGAGATGAAACTTTGCCTCACCCACTATAGTCGCCAGACCTCTCGCCTACTGGTTATCACTTCTTCAAGCACTTTGACAATTTCCTGCGCAAGAAATGCTTCACTAACCACGATGATGCAAAAAATGCTATCAACGAATTCATCGCTTCCAGAACTCCAGAATGTTAGGCAACTGTAATAAATAAATTTTTTTCTCGCTATAAAAAGTATGCTGATTACTTCAGTTAATAAGATTTAATATGAAAAAAGTTATGGTTATTCAAAGTTTACATTTAAAATCAGACATTTCATATGTTACAACTTAATAGCCATGTGGTCTACAATAACCGTGAAACCTTTGCGATAATTATTTAAGCAAATTGATCTGAGAGTGGAACATAGCGACGCTTGTAAATTTAATTAGTCTACTCTAAGAAATATGAAACCAAACGCAGTATACACTATACGTGACTAGCTAACCTCCACAACCCTTTTTCTCTTTCGTGGTCCATATCCTTCAGGCTCTTTAATCTTCTCAAATATTCCTATAAGTAAAAAAAGTTAAACTGCTGATAAGTGGTACACTGATGTTAATTGCTAACCGTTGCAACTTAATTTATGAGCGCTCCACCACAGATCATTCGGGCCGGGGGCACGGTTCGATGACCGCTTCACGTAGCCAAAGTATGGGCTTCTTCCACGACACGGTCCATTACATCTAGAACCCCACGGTTGAAAAGAAGAAAATCACTTCAGAGCTGCTAAGGATTAAGAACGATGTATTCGAAAATAATTCGGAACCAATAAAACAAACTTTCATGAACAATCTAGGGACAATAGCTGACAAAAGAAAACAACCAAAAAATTCGTCGCCCTTCCCCCCCCCCCCCCCCCCCCCCCCCCCCCCTCCCACCAACCACCGCGTATCATAGAGAAAATTTCAGAAGTAGTTCTTAGATGGATAAAAGAGGTGCAAAGTCCCTGTTTCAAAGCAAACTTGAAACACAACGCGTTATGGTACTACTCAATAGGGTAATGTTTATTTCTACATTCAAGCAGTTTAGGGCAATGTGTACTTGAAATTGGCCTACTCGACACTTTCTAGATAGCCTGGAATATGAATTTACAAGAAAGATATCTAACGCCCGTGACTACTACAAAATAACTTCGTTCTCAAGACGAAACATGTACAAACCTCCATATGTGCTGTTTGTAAACAGCAACTTCGTCATGAAATGAGTGGTAAATGGTTATCTTGATGTTAGCCATGTGGTTAATTCTGAACATTCTAAGAAAATCCTCCTACATTTGATTTCGAAAACAATAGACTTGCTTAGAAAGTCACTAGGAAAACCAAAGAGAAAAGTTCAAACCACAAGAGCAAAGACTGACCTCCACATATGGTATTGAAAATCAGGCCCATGACCGTCTCGATCGCGATTCCTTCGCGTAACAAACAGGAAGGCATGGATCATTTCATGCTAAATACGAACTTTACATACATATATACATATATATGTATACATGTGTATATAATTGCATATATATGCATATATATATACGTATATATATCCATTCATATCACATCCCAACGCACGCTCGCTTAGCCTCGGCAATGATTAACACAAGGGTATAGAATAAAGCTCTCAGCGTTGATCACTCTCTGAGGGATGCACCATGCATTCTACTTAATTAAGCATCGTCTGAAGGCGACTGAATGGACATCTGGTCTCTACAATGACTCGAGGTGGCCTACCGATGTGTCAAGCCAGCGCTGCTATCCTCCCAGACAAGTCTGATATCAATTTGCCGAACCCAGAGGGATGGAAGACTTGGTGAGCCACTGACGCGGGAACCGATCCCGTGTGTATTGCAGAGTGTCTCCGACCAGTGCACTACAGGCGCTCATGGCATTGATCAACAATCTACTTTTTCTCCTGATCAGCAAACATCTGGTCGTTTTGCTCATCAAGGAAAACAGTGAATTATGCCTTTAGACCAATCAGATTTTTTCGTACTTTCGATATTCAAAAAGGAATTCCCAAACCTCTGCGGAGGTGGAGAGATCCATGCCTCAATCTCAACTTAACCAGGTACGAATCTCCTGGCATAGTTAACTGACAGAAACGAACAGGGATAACTTCTCATCAAGACGTACCAGTAGCGTTTCTATGAGATCTTTACGTGGACGCAACTTCAACAGCGGAAGACTGAGTCGAATTGAGCACATGCCGCTCCTTCCTTCGTACGAACAGACACCTGCACATCTGCAAAGCTTCTCTTCGCAATTGTTTGCTTTCATTCCCACCAAAATTCACGAAAAACTTACGAGAACATTCGTGGACTCCACTTCACTTCACAACCAGCCAGTGTCCCTTCGAAGAAGAGGTCGTTAAAATTCAGGAAGAGGTCGTGGATATCGGGACATGGATCAGTCAGCTCTAGTTCTGGATTCGCCAAGTCGTAAGACACTGACATGAGCAAGTAAAGCTACGTGGCGCCCTTAAATGAATGCTAGTCGAATAAGTTAACAAACAAGAGAGTATCGTTGATTCCATGGAGGCCGCATGAACAGTGGAACTCGTCCGCGATTTAAACACGGCAATGCTAGTTATTTACATAATACATGACAAATTCTGATAGCTAAGGAACTTTTCGGGTCAGAAGACCACAGAGTTAGAGAAGAGGTTTATTTTATCCACCTTGGAGTACAATACTGCAATTTACGTTTTACTACAGTTAACCTACAAAACCCATTTCTGGCACCACACGAAAGTGTTTTAGAACTTATATTGAGTCTACCTCGGTATATCTTGCACCCAACGGCCCGATGCCACAACCACGACCTATCAACTGGAAATAAGACAATAGTGGATTCCTCGTCGAAAAATCGAACTTTGTATGCTCTTGATAAGGAACGATGCCGGCTGTCTAATAGTAAAAGGTAATTTCGGCGATGTTCATTTCTAGTTGACTCAAAATTCGAAGTTTCAAAAAATCCAATTTTCGTCGTGGTTGATCAATCCCTAAGAGATGAGTCATGCATTCGACTTCATTAGGAATCGTTCGGAGGTGACTGAAGGCACATCTAGTCTGTACAATGACTCATGGTGGCTTACCGATGTATCGAGCCAGTGCTGCTATCCTCCCAGACAGGTTTGGTACCAATATGGCCTTGGAGGGATAGCAGTTTGGTTAGCCTATGGCGATGGATCGTGCCCATGAGTACTGCAAGGCACCTCCAACTACTGTGCTACACGTGCTTTCTTGACCGTGGCAAAATAATACAACTTGAATAGAAAACACACAATACAATGCAACAGTAGCTGGGGTTTCGGCAGTATGGCCTTCTCCAAAGCCGTTTTTTTTGTGACTTTCAATGAAGAAGGTTAGAACAGCTGATTATAGTCGCATATCGATATGCGACTATAATACAATTTCTCGCAGGTGATAATCTCTGCACCCTGACAATTTTATTTCAATATTCACAGTTCAATATGAGCTGAGATATGCTTGTCGAAAGTCCTCAAGTACATATGATTGATCTCTAAACAACGTCTGATCTCTTCTTTTCGTTTCTTTTTGCCCTTTCTCGCTTATTTCTGCTTATGTCGTTTTACATCAGTTTTGCTGGTCAAGGGCTATATAATGCCGTCCACAACTCCAGCTGTAGTGGTGGCTGCGGTCGATGCACCAATGTTGTGGTGAGCACTATTTCGTAGTAGTTCAGCAGTGGAATAATTGCTGAATATCAGATAGTATGGAAGCTAACTAGTTGATTAGTCATTGCTGTGTCTCTCTTTGACTCTCGAAGGTGAATTTGCGTCACAGTATCCACTATTTGGAAGTTCTGTAACATATAGGTACCTTTCCTTTAACCTTTGAGAGGCTGTGAATGATAGTCGAGAAATGGAGATCGTAGTTCCATGGTACTGCAACTGATCTGTCTGCTATAGCTCCCAAGTGAACACGCAACGTTGGGTCTCGAATGCGGATGCCGGAGGTCGGTTTCTCTCTTCAATTAAGTGCAACACGATGGTGAGCTGTTTGCTTGCACGCGTTCGCTGTTTGCCAAGCGCATATTGCTGATTGTTGCCTTCACAGCGTAAATACTAAATATGGATAATTAAATCTTCATATGTGTCGGACAAACCAGTGAATGTTTCAGATCAGTGAATGCTTATATCATACATACAAGATAGAAGCATTCCTGTGTTGATGTACGGAGCATGTAACTGCGATTTGTTTAAGTAGACAAAGAAAATTCTTTATGTGGTGTTTACATCATACATGCAAGATAGAAACGTACAGTTGGCATAAGGAATGTAAAACTAATTTGTCTAAATAGATAAAGATACTCTACGTGATCGAGAATCTCCTCGATACCAAGTTATTGAAACCCACAACTTGAGAGGCTACGGTGGCTCAAACTCATGGAAGACCAATGCTGAGCACACACAGAAAACCTAGCTGAACGAATTCACTATAGAACTCTAGCTGAATGAGTTCACTATTGAACTCTACTTCCGTTAGATCTGAAACGGGGTGTTAACACACCGATGACTTCTAATGCCGTTCAAGAAAGAGGTAGCAGTGGTCGGGAGGATCGAGGCAGTGTTTCGGATGTTATAACGCGATATCAAGGGATCGCAATCTCGTTAATGATAGATGAGATCGTAGTAGAAAACACTGATGTTTAGGACGTGGACAACAGCGGCGTCGTGAACCATAAACGTCATAGTAATGTTCTTATTGTCTCCTACTTCATTTCACTGTCCCCTCTCCATTGATAATCTGCTTGGGTAGAAGCTTCTTTTCTTGATACAGATGCCAAAAATCCCGCCGGTAATCCACCTCGTCCTCGGCAAAACAGAGTTTTGACAACAGGCTCTCAAGGTTATCTCTCATCATAGCATGGACTGCAACAGGATGGCAAGCAAAGGCGAAATTAGGACTTCAGTAATCCCTATATCATGACAGTCGAATAGCCCCCAGCAACAGACGATGGATTTTTTCATCTCATCAACGTTTGTTCGTCTGTTCACCTTCGGACTTGATACCAAGGTAAAAATTAAATTTTTAACCAATAAAGTAACCTAAAATGATGACAGACTTCGACATACTAACGCATAGTGAGTAAGAAAATGTACACTCCGGAGCGTTAAAACAAACCCTCTTCTACGACGCCGTTGAGTTCTCAACTACTCCAGTCCTCCAGTTACCAGAAAATCAGCACAGTCCATTAAAGACACATAAGGTTCAAGTACTGGTAAGTAATTCTGTTTTATCACTGCCAGTCGTCGTGATAAGTCATGGTTATCGTTTTGAATGGAACATGTAGAGCTAACAAATATTGAAATATACTCATCATAAATTGCAGAGCACTTTCAAATTCGGACAGCTACGTGCTTCTAAAGGACTAGTGTAACGCAGTGGTCGGAGGCGTCGTGCAACACACATGGGATCGATCTCCGTGCCCTAAGCTCAACAAGCCTTCCATCCCTCCGGGGTGGGCAAATTGGTACTAGATTTGTCTGGGAAGACAGCACTGGCTCGATACATCGGCAGGCTACCGTGAGTCACTGCATAGGCCAGAGATGCATTCAGTCACCTCCAACGATGCTTAATGAAGTCGAACACATGGCGCATCCCTCAGGGATTTATCGACGTCGAAGGCTTTATCCTTTATCCTTTATGTGCTTCTATCTGAGCATTGGTAAAAGGGAGGAGGATAAACCGTTCCGCATTGATCCATCCCTGAGGGATGCGCCATGCAGTCGACTTGGTTCAGCATTGAGGAGAAGACTGAATGCAGATTTTGCCCATATCAAGATTTGTATTGACCAGCCGATGTACCAAGTGCTGCTGTTCCTTCAGACAAGTCTGTCACCATTCCACCGACTCCGAAGAGATGGAAGGTTTGGATGGCTCGGGGTGCGGAATGAACCAGGGAATAATTTCATGTGTATTGTAAGAACGCCACTTACCTTGTCTACACGTTCCTCTAACGACAGTTACGTAAGGAAACAATAGTACGAACACTTGGCATAGCCGACAGAGGAAAGCTGGTTAGGTGTCTTTTCCGCACAAATAGAAATAGACAATTCTATTGGCGACATCTTGCATTTATATCGAATGAATAACACAAAGACCACTGCTAATCAGAAAGGTACTTGGACCCTAATTTCTCCAGGCACTAAAGGCGATGCGCTCTGCTCGTTGCGAGGAATCAGGCGTTATCCGGTGCGGCCCCCACACTTAACTTGACGTCTCGTCAATGCTTTCAATTCAATTCGCATCGCGCGAAATGTTTCCACGTTTGCTCTGAAGCTAGTGTATATGATTAGGAGTGTGTTGGTTGGGAAATTCCGCTGCGAGTAATCGGTTAAGTAACGACTGGATCCCATAGAGGACCACTACTATGAGGCCGTTGGTTTTATCACACAAAAGAACAATGATCTCTGCGAGTAGTAGTTTCGAAGTGACGTTACAACTTGTCGTCTTCACTTTCTCGAAAATAGCTCCGTTGATCTTAAAGTTTTTTGGTGGACATGTGCAAGAGATTATTTGGTATGCTTGAAGACCATTGACTTCGATCTCGGCGAAGACCGCTTCTGTCTCTGGATGTGATAATGACTGAGAATCCTTCAAAATCGCTCGAAAATCACCCACTTCTTGGAAGAACAAAGTTGCGGCAAACACTGACGAAGACTAGGAAGGTGAACACCCTCATTAATGCAGTGAAGCGATTTCAGGACGAAAATAGCATCAAGGTGAGAATGGAAGTTCCTGTGCTGCTCATTTTTGTCTTGATGTTTTGGTAATCTGTTGTCTATTGGAGCTTAGCTGCTTTAGCTGGACACCCTTCCTCCTGCGCTTCAGCTCTTGGATCTGCACAAAATAAAGCGGCATGACTTCTATGATCAGGTATTTCGCTCCAGTAGAATATCTATGTGCTACTTTCGTATTCGTAGATGGTTAGATGACTGAAGTATGTTCCATTCTGTTAAGATCTCACGTGTGATGAATCCCTACTCGCCTCTGCAGGGATTTGAATAGTGCTTTCCCTACTTAGGGTACTAAACACTGACTCAAAGCGGTCGTGTGTTTGCCATGCGACGCCCGTATCCTTAGAAAACAATCTTTTTCCTACTTTATCGAATTTGATTTCACATTTCATATTCACGTAGTCCCTCCTAACGGTTCCTCTCCTCATCGTGGGTGGGAGGTGTTCCTGGATGTTGGGTTGCGATTTAAAGCGGGTAGTGGGAGGATTGATCCTGCCAACAGGATGCCGACTGCCTGTGATAGTGACGACCTGGGTTAGACTTTGGTCAGGCTGACCTCGAGAATTCAGGCAACCACAGTGGCTAAACCAGGAATACTCCGACAAGGTGGAGATTACACCGGGGTCCGCATAACCAGTGAAGATGACCCATCCGAGTATCCAAGTAATAAGTATTCACGTAGTCACATCTATGCGTTCGTGGGTCTAACTGTTCCATACTACCCTACACTTCGTTTCTGGCAAAGGCGTGCATCGAGAACTTAAAGGAAGGTGATTCTGAGGCCCCAGCTAAGAGACAAGTTCTTTTCTAGTTTGAGTGAGCCCGACATATAGATACCTAGTATCCTACGATATTCTGGCGACCAGTAATTGTTCCCATCTTTAACAACGCCAAAGATTGAAGTAGTGGTTGAATCAACTACGGTATTATCGCTCCCTGTGAGAGGTTATTTGGCCCTTTATTTATCTACTTGTATCTTTTCAAGTTTTGACAGGCAGCAGCTGACATATCTGAACAAGTAGTGGCCCGTATACGTGCTCTTGGTGAACATGGGACTCCTGAGTCGTTTGGGAGACTTGAAGAGCAGCTTCGAAGATGTTTCGATCTGTTTAGTCTCCCACATTTTCGCCAAATTGTTTTGGAGAATCTCAAACAGCTGCCTAAACTCGAAGATCGGTTGGTTGAAATAGTTTATTAGTTAAGAAAAAAGAGAGAAACGCAAAGCAAGGGCCTCTATGGTGTGCAGTGTGCAATACGCGAACCCTTGGAAGGGGTAATCGTGGTTCGATCTGGCCCGGGGTCCGAGTTTTGCGAATATCTCAGCATTGTTCTGGTTGTTAATTAAGATTTCTAGGTCGTTTTCTGAGAGCACCTTTCAGTTTCATTTTTTCAGTTACCTCGATACTATAATGCGTGATGGAAATTTCTACGATGCGTGCCCGCTCTCCGTACAGCAACAGATCTGGTTGAAAAACAAGGATTTGTTCAGAGAAGCGTTCCGACCTTTGATCGATTCCTATCTGAAGCATGTTGCTTTTTTAAATTCAGAAATAGATAGTTTCAAAATCTAATAGTTTCATAATCCAAATCGTTTCCTCACAAGTGGTTTTAGCTGTTACACACTTATGAATGCTTGATATTTGGTTAAGCGATGATTATAATCGCTGTACTCCATGCAAGTATGGCTGTATCCCATGTATTCTATAATTAAGCTATTCTAGAGTTCTTTCGTATAACTAATGAATGACTAGGGGGAAATACGTTGGTCCAAATACCCGCTTCTTGGCTCAGTGAGTCCCTAAAGCGAGCAAAACCTATTGGGTTGTTCTTGCACGCGACAGAGAGAAATGGAAGATTTACTTTTGCCCCTCGAGTTACTTGACGATCAACGGAACTACAGGTGATACAGGTGAAACCCGTTGCTTGGAAGTTCTGCATGTGGAGATCTGCATGTGCATGTAGAGAAAGCTTTTATTATAACAACTGGTAGACGTCTACGGCGTACAAGCCGATGCTCGGGAAGTTATTTAACATATTTTTGACTGCATGGGTTCGCGTAAACATTCGTGAAAGTTGCTGATATCTCAGTAAACTTTATAAGAAAAATGGAAGAAAACGAATGGGAACTACCATCGGTATGACGATAATTTGGGAACTCTACAACGCGGCAGCGGCAAATAAGGATATTGCTAAGGTCTTCTCAACACGTAGTGCATATCGAGAAGACGGAGCATACAGAGCTCTTCACAACATATCATGTTCACTTTTCGCTCTCTTTCTGACTACACTAATTGTTGAACTGGCTCGTCACAAAGATCGTGTTGTATTTGTGCTTGACTATTATGTGTCATGCACTCCTGTTCATTACCGAATTATTTCAGACGCAAGGAAGACTTGCTGATATCCGCTGAACCGTCTAAAACAAATTTCTTTACATTTGAGACCACCAAGGCACGTCGTCAATGGAAGGAAATAAAAGGTACCTTTTTATCATTTCCAGCGGTAATTTTATGTTGCCTCAGGTAGCCAATAACCGAATGCTGTAAATGAATTTCGGACGTCCTCAAACCATACTGTAACTAGTGTGTGCTTCTATTTTGAAAGTCAGACTTTTTTACAGTATCTGATTTCTATATGGGCGCGTGTGGCGCAGTGGTCGTAGGCACTCTGCAACACACATGGGATCGTCGATTTCAGCTCCCTGGCCTACCAAACCCTCCATCTCTCCAGTGCATGGTGCATACCTAAGGGATTGATCAACGCCAAGAGCTCTATTTATTATTATTTTTATCCTAATTTCCACATTTGCAGACCTGATCATGTTTATTGGAACTTACGAGGAATTATTCCTTGATGTGACGGCTTACATTAGGGAAATATTTTCCGCAACAGGTGATGTAATGCTGTGTTCGTTAAGGTCTGTCTTAAGGTTCATAATCTTAATATGTTTATGAGTATCTATACTATGGACTTCGGTCTGTTTTTTTCTATTCAGAAATGAACTAATCATGGCGGCTCATGACGGTTGTATCGAAAATGTTGTTAAAGCTGGTTCGTAAAGTCGTTTCATTGTGAAGACGAATATCTAATCTTATGAATATTATTTTAACGTTCGTTTAGATCCATGTCACGACTTTGCTTGGTGCCTGGAAGCATGCATGCGTGATAAGCATTTGGAGAGTCACCAAACGAACAGGCTTCGTCACATCCTAGACAACTTCCTTAAAACATCATATGAGTTACGTTCCTGACAAGTAACCTTAACTCTCGTTTTTTATGTTGATTATAGACATTTTTCAGAGTATCGTAGACCTGGCCATGATAGCTGGAGATGTCCATGTGATTCATTTCTTGTGTTCCATGACTTTGAAAAAACTGCGAGATTCGGTATGTGTTTTCCCACTTTCAGAGCTCGTTTAGTGATGACGGTCTTCTGGCTTCAGTTCGTTTGGTAGAATTCTGTTAACGAAAAATTTAAGTCTACCTGTTAAACATTCTGGAAATTTTACGTAAGATTTCGTAGTACCACATTTCTCCGATGATATATTGTTTTGAACCCTTCACTTACATGCATACTTGGATCTCCCGTCCTCACTGGTTGTGCGGTCTCCAGCATAACTTCCACTTTGTCGGAGTTTTGCCGGTTTAGCTACTGTGGATCCCTGGAGTACCGAGGTCAGCTAGGCCGAAGTCTTCCCCCCATCATCAACACAGACACTCGCCACCCTCGTGGATCAGAGGGAGATTTACCACCGTATGGCTAGTTTGCCATGAAGGTCCCTCATATGAGGAATCTCGAGCGGTTAGTCGCGAGGCATAGCGCGTCCCCAGGCAGCACAGGCCCAAAGAGACCGTTCCGTGAGACGCAGGTGGATCCAGTGGATGATTACAATGACTCGCGGTAGCCTACCGATGTACCAAGCCAGTGCTGCTATCTTCCCAGACAAGTCTGGTACCAATTTGCCGACCCAGGAGAGACTGAAGGCTTGGTGGGCCATGGGTGCCGGCATCGGTTCCACGTGTGTGTTGCAGTCGTGCCTCCAACCTCTGCGCCACACGCGCTACAACTGGATATTCTTAGAAAATACAAGAACATGATCTTGAAACAACACTTAACGTAAATTTAAAGTGTATCGAAATAAGAGAAAACACTTAGAAATTACAGAACCCACTGAACAGAACAAGGACATAAACCGACGTGTAGGTCATCCAGTACCGCTCCTAATTTCTTCATTCTCTCAAACAGATTTATACCAAGGTTTGCCACGGTGAAGTTGTTCAGCTACAACACACGCAAGGACGATGTAATCAGGGCCTTAAAAATATCTTGTGATGTTCTTAACTGGATCTAGAAAAGTTAACATGGAAGAAACAATGAGAATACAGATAAGTAATGCAAAGCGAAATTTTAAAGAAAAGCAAATTGGAAGAACAAACCGTAAAATATGGGATCGGTATGTCAAGCCAAATATCGTCATTCTTAGGCTCACAAATGCGGCTGAGAAGGAAGCATTCTTCAGAGTTCACTGTAGATTTAAACATTCATATGACTAGTAGAATCTTGTAGACAAAACCAATTTAAAAATATTTTCGGCCTAATACACCTACACCCACATAATCGTTTAAGGTTTTATTGCAACAAGTGATTATAACAGTGAAAAGAGACGAAACACAACAGCTTAGATTTCGCAACGAAGCCAAAATTGCAGCAAATTCTCCCATGGATCTACCTCATAGTGGGGTCGCTGCCGATTAGTCGCGAGGCAACGTGGTGCTTCCCATGGTGGGGATAAGGGGTTAATTGCAGAACAAAAGCGACCGTATGTTTCCGTGAGACGCAGGTGGATCCAGGGGATGGACTCCCTGTTTCTGCTGCTCCGATTTGGCACATACTTTCTGTATTTGCTAGGCGTATTGATGCATGCGTGTGTGGGTGCCTTCTTGCTTATGCTGATTATATTCTACGAGTCAGTTCGGCCAAAAGCCTGCAATCAAGTGACAGGGAAGGTTATGGGAGGCGGTTAGGAGTTGCCTCCAACAAATAAGCTCCATGTCCACTCTGGGAGTGGCCTGGCAAGCTACCCGTGAGTATACCCAGCCCTACGTTCAGAACCTAGCAAGCCATACGTGGGTATCAAAAATGCTAAACACAGTAAAAAAAAAAAGCGGGCCTCATTCCCCCGACCCCGAAAGGGCCCCCAATTTCGCAGCATTGGGTAGGACGAGTACGGAGAGGCTGCTAAAATCTCAGGGCCAATGGAAGCTGCCTGCATCGCGAAGAACTAAGGTGATAATCTGTACCTACAATGCACGTACACTTGCATCCGAGTTTACGATAGAGGGCTTGCTCATGCAAGCAAGAAGGTTAAGGTACGACATCATTGGCCTGTCCGAGACGAGACGACGCCACTCTCTCAATGCCGTCTTCGACACCGGAGAAGAACTGTTCCTCGGAACACGCGGTAGTAGAGGAGTCGGCGTTCTCGTCAACACGAGTTTATCCATGAACATCGATTCATTCCGACAACTAACAACTCCAGTCGGACATTTACGATTGAAGAGATATGGATTAATACCGGCTTTGACAATATTCGTCGTTTACGCTCCGACATCAAACTATAAAGAAGAAGAAAAAGTCGAAGCGTTCTATATGGACTTGAAGGGGGGGGGGTTCTGCAGAGAAGACCATACATTCTTCAAGGTCATCACTGGAGATTTTAACGCCAAGATTGAACCAAGAAGGTCACATTGCGATCCACGGATTAGAGTGGAACGGACAGGGTGAGCGACTCTCTGAGTTTATCATGACGA